TCGAACGATGAGCGGCTCATACGGAAATGGTCACGAAACAGCGAGCGATTCCGCGAGTTGTAGATCGCCTCGAACGGCCTCTCTCCGTTCTCTGAAGTCATCCCAAGGAGCCGCGGGATCTTGTCTGCAGGCGCGGGGTCATCGTCGTCACTGCTGTCATCGATGAGAAGCTCTAGCGCGAGTAGTAGCATCATATCTTCCTCGACTTCGTCCTCCGTTGGCTGGTGCATCTTGAAGTTTGCTTGTGTTCGGAAACTGGTGGTCACTATTTCTGGGTCTTCAACCTCGTTTTACTGTCCATCGATATAATGACGAGATTGACTTTCGTGCGAACACGTTTTTCTAAAATGTCGTTTTCGGAACTGACGCTTCTTGAGCGAGACCAGCCGAAATGTTCGTTTTCTAGAAATGAGACTATCTGCGAACACGGCCTAAGCTAACTTTTATTAACCCCCCAAACCCGAGAGCCTGTATGAGACACGATTCCGCAAAAAGCTTAACGTGTCTGAGACACGTTAAGCTTTTATATGTAAAGTTTGTATAGGACCATACAAATTGTCAGTCAAGAAGGGGTAGGCATATTTCCCATCTTCCCGCACAGCAGTACATAGCTATGCGTGTGCCTTGAACTTGGTTTTTCTAGAAAATTAGAAGACACAGGTTTGATGGGTGTCACACAAATCAGCATAGAGGATTGCAGGTGGAATTCTGCGCCACCCATATCTCGGTCATTCGAGAATTTTCGCCGCTGCCGCTCAGATGTCCGGGTTCAGAGGCCGATGGCGAGAGCTTCTGAAGTAAGGATGGAAATCAAAGGCCCCTACGGGCCTGTCAAACGACTACACGTACCTTATGCCGGGGAAGACGAAGAAGGACGTACGTGGCGTGGACTTTTTCGTTGGAGAGGCTGCGTTGATGGCATATTTGGACCGTATCGCCTTGGGTAAGTAGTATCGCCTTTCAAGGTCTTTGTGTGGACTCTAATACGTGTGCTTTGCTAGAGGAGATGAAGAAAGCTACCGCGGCGAAGCAACAAGCAAAAGCAGCAGCGACTCAACCTACTCCGGAAAGTGGACAGCCTGAAACCGATGTGCCTGACAGACAAGATGGTGCGTTTGATCTTATTGTGTATGTACGTGTTATGATTCTAACGCTATCGTGTATATAGTTGCTGACCGAACTGTCAGTCCAGATCCAGACACGACGAAGACTGTTTGTCCGAGCATTCAGGCTACGTCTCCACACCTGGCAGAGAGTGATTTGGGCAATTCAGCTGGTGATGAAAACGGTAAGCTGTCGAATATCTTGCTCGTACCTGTGAACTACTGCTAACGCTAGCACACCACTCCCTTATAGGTGCAGACGAGTATCTCAATTGTAGTTTACATGCTGAATTCGATGCTGCTGCTACATCTGGCTCAGAGTATGCCTGCTCTGAGCCTGATAGCGACGGAGAAAGCACGATGCCAGGTGAAGAAGGGCAACCGGCCGCCATACCACCTGAAGAAGTGCAACCAAGCGTCAGCCTTGCACATGGAATCAGAACGATGATGGGTAAGCTTATGGTGTGTATACACGTTAAGGGTACACGTTATGGATTCTTATAGTGTATGTGGATGTAGATGACCCAAACATTATCGCGCCTGGAGATAATCCAGCCGATTTTGCAGCACTGGATTCCAATGGTGACAATGAGAATATGTCCATTTACGATGATGATGAGAACTTAGGCTTCGAAGAAGCCGACGCCGTCGTGGAGGATTCTGCTGCTGCTCCTGACCTACTTTCCGAGCCATCTCTACTTGAATCAGTTGGCGGAGTTGGAGCACTTGCGCGCGGTAGTGTACACAAGGATGTTCTAAAAGACATGAAGCTCAATGGATGGAATGGACCTGATACTTAATTGCCTTTTCCCTACATGGACGAGCCGTACGAGGCTCGGACTGATGCATGGCTTACGGAGGACTATCCCAATATTTACAGCGGGGATCACGGGCCTACTGAAGAAGCCCTTTCCGCTGCTTCGACCGCGTTGGGGTCATTCTTCTTGTTTGCACCTTCCCATCTTTAAAAAGACATTGCCGGAGCTAGTGACGACTATTTCCTTCACAATTTGGATAAGCGTGTTGGCGCACAGCGTGCAAAGCAACAAGCCCGCCACCGGAAGGACAACAATTTTGAAGGGAAATCGCAAGAACAAATCAAGGAGAATTTATTGGCAACACCTGACATATCTGGAAGAGAGTTTTGTATTTTTATTGGACTACTCATTGCCAGAACAATTGCGCCGAACAAGGAGAAATTTGACCACCAGTGGAAGACTACCGACGAAGGCGCAATTCCGCGTGGGTGCTTCGGCCATTATATGAAGCGAGATCGGTTTGCTCATCTTTCCCGCAACATGCATTTCAGTCGCAATGATGCTCCTGAGGCAGCGACGGACCGCGCGTGGAAGCTGCAGCCAGTAATCATCGTACTGCAATATACTTTCCAGCGCAGCTTTATACCGCCACCGGTCATGGCGTTTGATGAAGCGATGCTTCCGTCAAGATGGGCTTTCAATCGCATGAGGGTGTACATGAAAGATAAGCCTCACAAATGGGGGACTAAGCTCTTCATGCTGTGCTGTTCTGAGACGGCTTATTGCATCCAGTACGTTTGTGACGCGCCTTCGGGCGCGTTTTTTTTTTTGGCTCAAAAGTTGTCTTAACGTGTCTGCTACATGCTAACGCTTTCTTTACCGTGTCTGATACAGTTTCGAGGTTTACTGTGGTAAACGCCAAATGCAAGACGACAGCATTCCACCTGACGAGAAATCCGGCCCTGCTGCAGTGGTGCGAAATCTTCAGCATGTATTTGGCCCCACTGGACCCTCCGACTTTCGACTGGTTGTAACAGATCGGTTTTACACCTCCGTGGTGCTTGCAATGCAACTGCTTACGATGTCTTTCTACATCGTTGGAACGATTATGATGAACAAGCAAGGCTTGTGCGAGGCCATCCTACCAGCAAAGCAGAAGAATGGCCGACGAGCGTCGAACGCAAGACGCTACAGGAAGTATTACAAGTCGTTGTTCCTAGGCCTTATTGATCTGGCAATTATCAATGCATTTACTGTCTTCAATTGCCGGCGGGTTAGAGATGGTGAACGAAAGCTATCACACGTGCAATATCTCAAACAGCTTCACCTGGAGTTGTGCCAGCTTCAACCTGAAGACTGGCAGCAGCTGCTACGCCACCGAGGGCTCCAGGCGACACCGACAAAAGCTCGAGAAGTCGCCAGACATGTGCCTGTTCAGACCGACGAGTGGCGTAAAGGGAGCGCCACACAAGCTCGGAAACGCCGTCAGCGCGCCTGTAAGGTGTGCTCAGTGCTCAAAGCCGATGGAGAGTTGCGTGGGGGTGAAACTACCTTCTTTTGCGGTGAATGCAGGCTGAAAACGTCTTCTAAAAATGCTCTAGCAGCTCGAGTCTTCCTTTGCAACAATGGGAAGCACTCCGTGAACGGTGTTCCAGCATCGTGCTTCGAGATCTGGCATAAACATTGGAAGAACGGCACATTGATCCCTCAGACACGGAACAAACGCAAGATTCGTGCCCGTAAGTCGAAGAGACCTACCGATGAGACTGCAGGTGATGCTGAGAGCTCCGAGAAGTCGGGCGGTGAATCTGAAAGTGACGGATCATCACGCCAGAAGCGATCCCGCAGAAGTGACGACGTAGTTTAGGCAGGCTCCGGCTCTGATTTTTGACTTGCATTAAATATACTGGTATTCCCAGCTGGTTTGTTTTTCTAAATATCGACAACTTGTACTGTATCGTCTTTGCGTACAGGAGACACAATAATAGATATACCATGTACCAGGAAGACACTTTAGGCGGGGAAGACACGATAGCAAAGTTTGGGGTTGGGGGTATGGACCGGCTTTAGTACATACACGTTAAAATATATCTGGAGTATAATATGGGTGCCCAGCGGATAAACCTTAACGTGTGTAGGTATGTGTGAGATGGTGAGCACCAAATGGCGGGTTAATAATTATGTTTCACTGAAGCGACCTTCACGTCACAATGCAGTTTTTCTAAAAAGTCATCACCTATTTCCAAATCGACTTCAAGGCTCATCATCATGTTTCGAGGATCGCGGCCAGAGGACATTAATTCTGACGTGCTACGTTGCTCTGCGAGCGAGAGTGCCTGCTTATCTTATTAAAATGAGCGCGTTGAGTGGTGCTTGGCTTCTATTTTGATTTAAACGTGGGTAACTGTTTCACAAAAAGAGTAACGAGAGCGACAGTGGCTGTGTCGCCATTGACAAGCATGGTGAGCTGGCCACAAGGAGGCTCTGCTGTCACTATGGCCAGCGATGTCGATGCAAAAAACTTGCAATCTCACTCCGGCAGCAACTCCAATTCAAAAGAGGAAAAAATGAAAGTCGTCGTGCGTGTGCGACCGCTCCAAGTGCGAGAGGAACCATGGCCAAAAGCTGCAGAAGACGACGTTCGCGGAACCAATGCGACGATAACCGTCCAGGTGATATACGATACAAGACAACACTGCTCCCAGCTAGCTCTGATCCTTGTGGATGACCTGGGTGACAGGGTAATGGGGTGACCTGGGAGAAGAATGGGCAGGTCAAGATCTTGAAAGCTGACGCCGTGTTCACCAAGGGGGCGTCGCAAGACATCGTGTATCGCAGTGTATCCGGTACGTCTGTTCTGGCGCTGGTGGGAAAAATGTAGTGTTATTTCTAACTTATGTGCTGGGTACTACAGATTGTGTCGACGCTCTAATTGCCGGGTTCGACTGCAGCGTGTTTGCCTAGTAGGTTTCGCACTCCCTATTGGTTCTAAACGCTTTTCGAGCCTGAAAGGCTAACGATGTATGTTTTTTATGGTTGCAGCGGCCAAACAGGAACAGGAAAAACCTACAGTAAGTCATTATTTGCTCGGAACACTGTGCTTCGATGAAGGCCTCACAGTACCTTGCTATTAACAGCAATGAGCGGCCTTCACCGTGATGGACATGTTGCTGTCGACGTAGCAAGTCCTGTTCCAGTCAACCATGGGGTTGTTCCAAGATGTATTGAGAGACTATTTGCCGAGCTTGAGCGCGAGAATCGAGGCTCCGTTGGGACATCTTTCGGCGTCTACTGCTCTTTCATCGAGGTTAGAACACCTTCAAGAAAGGGAAACTTGACTTTGCTCTGCATTTAACGCTATTTCGTGTCACAAATGCAGATTTACAACGAGAAAATATTCGACATTCTCTCACCAGAAGAAATACCGGTGAACGGGAATCATTCACCGGATGGTAAGGCTGCGGCAACAAAAGGGTCAACATTGCAGCGAGTTCGCTGGAACAGCTCGGTCAGCGCGAAGGATGCGAAAAGCCTCCAAATCCGACAAAAGCTGGATGGATCAGTGTTTGTGGACGGCATGACGTCGCGCAATGTTACCAATAAAGTAGAATTACTGCAAGCGTTTCGAGAGGTAAGGCGTGTGTCGTGGCTTTTAAATGCTAGCAGCATGATAGGATGACACGTCGATTATGGGTCCAGGGCTCGCAACACCGAGAAGTCCGAGATAACCTTTACAACCAAATCAGCAGTCGAGGACACGCCGTGTTTCAAATCACGCTTCGCAGGACCCTTGTTGAAGATGGTTCCAGTAAGATGAATGCCAAGAAGACTCGTCTCTCGAGACTCTTTTTCGTGGATCTAGCGTAAGCCTCTCGCTTTTCTGTACAGCTCTTTTCTCGCGGCTATTCATCTGGTCGTATATTGTGCTGTGAACGCAGAGGGTCCGAGAAATGGCACGTGAACGGAAGTGATCTAACTGACAAGTATGCAACCGAGCTAGCTTCAATCAACAAGAGTTTATCTGCGCTGACCAACTGCGTGATGGCCCTCACGCAGAAAGAACGGTCTCACGTCCCGTATCGAGACTCGGTTTTGACGCGCTTACTCCAACCTTGTCTACAGGGAGCAGGACGAACTGCATTTATCGTTACAATCAGCCCATCGAAAGCATGTTTGGAGGAATCTTTCGCCACCTTACGGTTTGCTGAGCGGCTCAAAGCTATTCGTTGCCGTCCCGTTCGACGCAGCTTGTTCAGTAACGAAATGCTGGGAGAGCAGCGACTATACTACGAGCGTCAAATTCAAGCCATGCGTGTACGTAAGCTACGTGTCCTGTTGTGTCTTTCATCTTGAGCTAACAGCGTTTGTCTGCTACCCAGGTGGAGGTCAATCGTTTGCGAGAACTGCTACGAAGGGCAAACCAGAGACCTAACGAAGCTGCTGGAAGCTCCTCGAATGCCGCGTTAGTGGAAGAAAATCGACGTCTTAAGGGGCTACTTCTGCAGACAGAGCGGTCACGTGGTGTTGAGAGGTATAATGTCGCTGATAAGGTTGTTGCGGCAACGTGCTGACGCGTATTCTGCTCCAGGAGTGAGCGCATTGGCCATAAGAATGGTAAACCTACCGCCACGGGTGGAGCTATATTGAAAATGTCATCCCAACGGGTTCTAGCGAGGCAGGTGCTCAAGCCCACATCGATGAAAGCCGAAGAGTCAAGCTCGGGTCTTCCCCGCCAAGATCGACAGAGGAACAACACACTAGCCGATGACACGGCACGTATCCAAAGAAAAACGGGTGATCAACCGCGAGATCAACTTACAACTCTTGAGAATCAACTTCAATCGAAGGAGGCTCGTCTCAACTGGATGCTCGAGGCGGTAAGCGTATCCGTTGCCACGTATGAAAAAAAAATGTAGAAGTAATACTTGCCATGAACAGGAGATGGAAGCTCAAAACGCTGGTGCTGTAGTTGATCCAGGAGATGCTCGTACGTAGCTGTGGACTTGTACTCGAGCTGTTTTCTCTGTTGCGCTCGCCCTAACGAATTTGATAGCAGCGCGACCAACAGTTACTAGATCCTGGGCTGTTGAAACAAGGCTGCGTCGGCAACTGGTAGCGATTCCACCACCTTTACGCGATATGCAACCTGATCCGGGGAGTAAAGCTCGAGGTGAAGGAAAGCTTAACAACCTGGTAGAGACGACTAATCTGGCAGCTAATGGGCGAGAAACTCAGTCTGTAAAGCGCGTCTTTCCTGCTCATACGGAAAGCCAACCAGGTTCATCACGAACAGACCTTGCAGTCGACCAGCCAACATCACAGCCCGTATCACGGCAAAACACCAGAAACTACTCTCCGACTCCCCCAACTGAAAGCCACAGCTCTGCAGGTCAGAGTAGTACTGGAAGCAGGAGAAGCCGTGTTGCTAAATCACAGCCACACCCACCTGGTCACTCGGAGCCCAAGACCTCGACGGAGCTGGTGAAGGCTTCATCGATTCTAAAAATGGTCGGGTCTGGCTCAAGTAATGCCTCTGGTAAAACTCGCGACGAGCTCATCGAGGAGTACAAGCGTGCACGTCGTGTGGAACTGGAGGCGATGATGCGAACGATGGTGCGAAAATGAAAAAAAAAAAAACTCAGTACCAGCCCAAGATAAAAAGTCTGTGGTTTTGTTACAGAGATCAAGATTATTCCTGAGGTTGTTCACGTCTCACATGCAACCTAGCTCGACACATCCACGATCGGAGGGAATGGTTGCGCCTTGCTGACGACGAGAATCTTCTTCGTGTGCGACATATAGCCCTTGATGTAGCCCTTGAAGATGAGGTTCGTGAGGACACACTCGATCTCATCCATGTCCATCGAGTGACCCGTGGCAACGTTCAGCGCCAACTGGAAGTCCTGCATCTGCAGTTGGTGACTCTGCTGGATTAGATATCTGCAAAACACAAGAGACGAGTTTAGTGCGGCTAGTTATTGAAGGTCTGCCCCTCTCCTATAGTGTGGACGTACACTTTCTTGAAGAGATTTCGCAGAACCAAGAGGCGGAGCTTCTCAATCAATAAATACACGCCTTGTTGGATGAACTTATCCTGGTACTGGGCCAGATACTCCGTGAAGAGGTGCAGATTGCCGTCTCGAATGGCGTCCGTGAGACCCGTGTACTCTTCCAGTGCAAAGTCGGACAGCAGGTTAGGAGACGGCATGATACCCAGCAGCAGCTTCACGGGCACAAGGAACTGCAGAATCATGCGCTTGTTGCGCGTCTTGCCACGATGGCAGTGCTTCCACGCGTAGTCGAGACATGTCTCCGCCTTCTGGTACTGGTCTTCGAACATGGAGATGCGGCCTACATAATACTGGTACGTGACTTTGTCGCTCTTATTAAAGAGCTCAAACTTGGGGAACGCTGGGCCTTCCACTGCACGGATAAGGTTGCGACACAAGTGGATCATGTTGAGCTTGAAGTAGATCTTGAAGAGCTGGTTCACGATGAATAGCGCGCCCATCTTCTTGTTGTGCTCGGATGGAGCTCGATCATTGGCAGCCATAGCGAAACCTTTCTTTAAATGCTGCTCAGCGCTGCGTAGACTGTCGTGGATCTCGTCTCCTGCCTTCTCCGAAGCCTCGTAGTCTGCCTATCAACCAAAATTATTAGCTCATGCCGCTTTCAATACACTACATCCTCTTGCACTCACTCTCGTAGCTAGTAGCCGCGTGTCCACAAACAGAACATGTAGGAAGGGCATAACCCAGTTGGTTTCCTCCCTAAACATCTCCATAAACTTGCTGCAAAGTGATACACCATTGCCACGTTAGCGTCCAGCATCCTATATCCCCTATTCTGCTTTGCAAATGCATCGTACATGACAGCACCAATTTGCGCAGTGTATGCGTCTGCAAAGCTCTGGGAATCAAGGTGCTTGCGCGCCAGCATGATGCCAGCCACCACCTCAGCGTATCCGTTGAAGCGTGCCATCTTGTTGTGGCACGTCTGCACCACTTGTTGAGCCGTCATTGCGCGCAGATCCACACCTGCGCAGCCTCCCGTCAGATTCAGCATCTGTGCCATCGATTCACCGTCTTGACCGGCGATGGCCGCCCCCACGCGGTCCACGAACGTCGCTAGCTGCATGTGTCGAGCTCAGTTTTTTTGTAAGTTGCCGTGAAAACGAAGTTGCGCAAGAAAATCTTTATGTTGCGCTAAACTGGGCGAGGATTTATACACGTAGGCTACATTTCACACGTAGGCTACTTGTTGTATCTCGCGATGGACACTGCCGCCAACAAGCGCCGTGTTCCGGTCAATGTAGAGGTGAACGTCACGGAAGGTGCGCGTAGCATGCCTCCTGCACGCCCCGGAGGTCGTACGGGCGCTCGTCCTGCGTCCTCTGGCTCGTGGTTCGGCGCGCCGCTGGTGTACGCTGTGGTGACGTTCTTCAGCCTCATGATCTTGGTGCATGTTTGGCAATTTTCGAGCTCGCAGATGCACCCAGTGCTGTCCACGCCTTTCCACAATAAGACAATGGTGCAGTTTACAACCAAGTTCGGCACTTTTACCGTGGATCTGTACCCGGACCACGCGCCTAAGACCGTGGACGCCTTCAAGAAGCTCGTGAGCGATGGATTTTACCTGAAGGATGCCGGTTTCTACTACAATGAACCAAAGTTCGTACTGCAAGGAGGAGGTTTCCTCTTTGACAAGAAATCGCCCATTGGCAACCTGCCAGTGGAGTACAGCGCCCCCAGTACTGAGAGGATGGTGGTCATAGCACGCAGCCACAAGTCGGACTCTGGTAACACCGAATTCGCCATCATGCTGCACGACAACACAGAGAGAAATAAGCCCAGTGAGGACGGACCAGGCTACACGACCTTCGGACGAGTTGTGGAAGGTTGGCATACGATCCAGTTTATTTCTAAGAAAATGTCACCTGGCTTTATGGCCAAGGAGGACCGCGACTACCAGATTGGCTTCGAGAAGGTCGAGTTCGTGGAGCGGCTAACGAATGACAATGAAGAAGCCAAGATGCGTCTTGAGGAGCTGGCGTACGTGCTCGAGACGCCGCATAGTGTGGTTATCATCTCAGAAAAGGACTGTCCCGAGAAGAAGGAGCTTGAGAAGATGCTGCACAAGTTCCGCACAACCGTGCGTACTATGGAGATCGGCTTCGCCAACCACGTCCCATACGAGCTGGAGGCGGTGGAGGCACTGACTGGACGCAAGTCACTCCCGCTTGTGTTCATGAAGGGCAAGTATATTGGTGGTCTGCGTGAAGTGCAAAAGTTGCAACAAGTCGGCACCCTCCGCGCGATGTTGGAGAAGAGTGGCACACTTGCTGAGGACATCGTGTGGTCGGCTATTAACCAGAACCCGCTGGTGCTATTCAGCAAGTCGTACTGTCCGTACTGTAAGAAAACCAAGGAGACGTTGGCGAGCCTTGGTGCCAAGCCTGTGGTGTTTGAGCTCGACACTCGCGAGGATGGTGCCGCCATTCAGGCGTTCCTGTTCCGATTGACGCGTCAGTCTACCGTTCCGAACCTTTTTATCAAGGGCAAGAGCGTCGGTGGCAACGATAACGTGCAGGAACTACAGCGATCTGGTGAACTGGTGGACCGCCTCAAGAAGGCTCGAGCCATCGACTAATTTGCACGTGTCGTACAGAATTAAGGAGGAATCAGGGATGGAAGGAGGAACGAACGAATGAACCGATTGCTCCTTTATGCATCATAGTTCACTTCTCTGGCGCTTATACTCGTTGCACTTATACTGCTGTGCTGCTCGCTCCGTTGTTGACTCACGTGTGCAGGTGGCTGTGGTCGTAGAACTGTCTGGTGCTTGCTCCCTTCGGCGTCGGTCGATTTCCAGTGACATCGTCAGCACCGAGACCGATCGACTCGGACGTGAGCATGAACGGTCCGTTGTTGCGCTTGTAGTGGGAGTTGCCCACACGCATTGTGTAGAAAGTGTCTCGGTGCGACTTCTGGTTGAACTCGGTAGTCTGCGAGCGCCCAATGTCGTACAGATGCTTGGTCTCCTGAAGACCTTCAGGGAAGTGGTGGTTCTGGTTCAGAGAGTCAAGAGCATCGAAGAGACCAGGAGGATCGTTCTGCTTCTGCTTGTCGAGGATCTTCATCTCCGTGTGCAGCGTCTCGCGGTACTGCTCCGTGCGAATATGGCTCATAAACTCATCTCGTCGACTTGCATCCTTAGATCCAAAACCAGACTTGCGCGTGTCCATCGGCTGGGACTTGACGTACGCTGTGTTGTCCTGGAGCGGATCGGAAGCGTACGTCTTCTTCTCGAAATATCCGGAACCATTGCAAGTGTTTTTTGCTGGTACAGTGAGGATCTGTTTGCCTTTGTGACGCGAGTTCTTGCTCTCGATCAGGTGCGGGTCTCGGTACGGATCACCGATGGTGAGGTAGCTCTGGGCGATATTCTTGTTTAGTACCTTGGTTGAGTACATGCTTCTGCTTTACCCTAGTGGTTGCTTAGAGTTTTTAATATTTGTACAAACCCAACTGAGGTCGCTGTGTCCACGGTACCAGGAGAAATGAGCACTAAATTATATCACCTCTATTCAATAGAGTCTATATGCAGCGGGTTGCCCAACCCGTCCTCGCTTCCAGCAGGGTAAGGTGCTGAAGACGCCATTACAGGTGCCGATATTCTTGGATCGATCGCTATCAGAGCACCCGCTAAAAATACAGAATTAACATCTAATCTCAGTAGAAATCGATTGTCGCCAATAAGATAATATCCACAAATCCACTGGATATGTACCACATTTATTGTAGGATCACCAAGTTTTTGTCCATAAAACGTCCAAATACCGACCACTTACCTAACCGCGGTATTGTCAGTATTTCAGTATTTCAAAAATCATATTTTTTAAAAGCCGAGCGTCCAGCGCCGCTCATTCTTCTAGCACCCCCGCAAAGCAGGCCCCGCACAGTATTTAGCTTCTCCCCGCTGTCTACACGGGCTACACTACGCGCTCAGACCCCCCCCACCACCGATCTATCGTGCTACTCGTCTACTAGTTACACGCTACAGTACCCCAGTCCATACACGTGGCTTCCAGCTGCCATGTCGTCCCAGTCTTCGCCTATGGCCCAAACGACCGGCAACGCAGTTCCTGGGGGTAGAACGACTCTCGAGATCGCATTACCTACCTTCGAGGGCGAGTTTGAATCCTGGGAAGATTTTGGAGAGGCGTTTGACCGGTAAGATATTAGCTTCTTGTCATTTTACCATACTTTCTAATCAAAATATGTTCTGTAGATACCAAAGAGAGACCTTTCAGCTATATAAATTGAGGACGAGTAATTCGGTGCGTGACCGGAATCGTGAAACTAAGAAGCGTGCTGCTAGACTTGGCAAAAAACCGGATTTGTTCGACGATACCCACAAGTATTACGCAAGGGTGGAACTTCAAGCCGCGGGGCAGAGGTGATCGTACAAACCACACTGTCCGTGGAATTGGTTGCAAAGCGCGATTGAATGCCGTGCTGAACCGCGACGAAGGCGTCTACACTGTTCGCATCTCGAAGCACCAGTCGAGTCATAATCACAGCGTGGGCCCTGATGAGTACACCTGCTATGCGGAGACACGCAAAATCGAATCACCAGGAATCAAGCGTGTTGCCAAGACAATGTGGCAAGGTAAAACTATCTGCTACTAATAATCATTTTGCTGAGGTATGTTCTAACTGTTAAATTTGGTAGGTGGTTCGAAACGCAAAAAATCTTGCGATACCTCAAAGAAGTGTCTGGCAAGCCGCTTCAACCGAAGGATGTCGAGAACATGATTGCCGAGATGCGTCGCGAGACGTACACGTCATCTGATGACAACGTTCGAGTGTCCGAGCTATTGCAGGACTTTGGAGAGGGACCGGGGAACGCAGTAAGCATTTTTCGGGATCCTGCAACAACTCTCACAAGCTGTATCACCTTCCAGACAGCGCACATGAGGAGGATGGCCAGGAAGTTTCCAGAGGCTCTATGTATTGACGCCACCCATGGAACTAACATTAACAGGTGCGAGATCGATGGCATCTACCTATAGTTCAATTTTGGTGTTAAGATTACCAATGCTTGGTGAAATTATCACCAAACAATGATTTTTTTTTACAATGCTGACAGATACCGTCTCTTCAGTTTTATGGTTACCGATAAGTTTGGGAGTGGGTCGTTCGTGCAGCACGCTTTGATCGACGGAGAGACCAAGTTGAATATGAAGTGTGCGCTCCAAGCATTTAAGGAGAACAACACGGCATGGAGAGATGTCAAAGTGGTAATTGTGGACAAAGATTTCACAGAAATCGACGTGCTAGCGGAGGAGTTGCCGGATGCTACTGTGATTCTTTGTCACTTCCACGTCATTGACTACTTGCATCGGGAAACCAGCAAGAGGGTCTACGGATTCACGTCGTTTGAAAAAACGCATGTGAAAAATTTGATAACACTTATGGTACGGACGCATGACGAACGAGAATTCGACCACTACTTGCAAGGAATTCAAGCGCTCTGCAAAGATAAACCTGCGTTCTACGACTACCTGACGTCGAATTGGTTGAACTGCAAGTCTTTGTGGTGTTCATTTCTACGTGGGAAAATCCCGCACTTGGATAACAACACAAACAACCGGCTGGAAGCCAGTTGGGGTGCAGCCAAGGACATCCTTACACGGCACATGGCCATGGATGAATGCATAGACCACCTTCTCTTCCTACAACAAACTGCTGAAGACACGTACCGGTACAAGTCCAAACGCGTTGGATTCCGCTTTAACAAGCACTACGATGAGGATTTACAGACTTTAGCAAGGATTGCTACGCACCACGCCTGCAACCTAATTGAGAAGCAGTACAGGGCCAGCATGAAAGCTGATTACGAAGTTGATTCAGAAAAGGCATCACCTGCTCTTGTCACATTAACAAGTAAGACGTCTTCCAGTCAATATGCGGTAAGTGAATATTTTCCCTCCTTAATATTTATACTGATGTGACACTGTATATTGTTGTTATGCTTAGGTGAGTTTGGAGGATAGCACCTGCAGTTGCATGTTCCACCAAACACTTCTTCTTCCATGCAGACACATCATGTACTTGCGTCGTGAAGACGACTCTTTTCGGTATGCAATTCCATTTGACGCCATTCCAGAGCGATGGGCAAAAAGTAAAGACTGTAGTGGAAGCAATGATCCTGGAAGTTTTTCGACAGATGGTGTGAGAAGTGTTGATGTTGACGTTGGCCATCACAAGCGGGCATTGAGTCATAACGAGAAATATCGGGCGATCCTCTCGATTTGCCTGAGTGCGTCGCAGATAAAGGGAAAAGGGACTTTCGCACGTGGAGCGAGCACTTAACAGAGCTGGAACGTATGGCTAGAGAAAACAACCAACCTCCCACGCTGAACAAGTCCGACAGTGAAGTTTCTCAAGGTAAGAATACAATATTGGTGAAAATAGCGAACGGATTGGTGAAATTGGTGAAGCTGTCTTAGCTGGTGTAGAATCCACCAAGAGGGTTTGTGAGATCGACACCAAACGACCTGTCGAAGCTACCCCAGAAAGTAATGCGTCTCCGGCTTCCATTAATAGTGGGGATTTGGGAGTGCTTGTCGAACAAGTGCTGGTCAATGACATCAAGAAAAAGAAAGTGGATTCAACAGCCTCAGATAAACGGAGGTTGGACATGGAGGGCTCGATCCAAGACGAAAAGGAACCAAAAGCAGCAAAGGTGAAAGGAGGGAAAAGGGCAACTCTTGTGCGTCTGAATCCAGCTAGTCGAGCTTCGGGCAGACCCAAGCAGAAAGCAAAACTCAAGAAGGCGAAAGAAATTGAGGAAACAATGCTATTTGTGGATAACCTTGTCTCTTATGGGGATATTACCTTGGAGTATTTCGAAGAGGCGGTCAAGACCAAAAAACTCTCGGTTGCTGGTATTGGTGATACGACGCGTGCCATCCGACCTATGTTCGAGTCGGCAGTTTTTAAGCGACCCAAAGCTTTCTTGATCGCCGACAAGCCCACGCAAGTTGTAGAGACAGGTGTCCGCTTTGTTTTACCAGGTAACCTGATGAAGGCTCTTTTTATGGCTTGGTAAATTGTTCACCAAGGTTTTGGTGAAGTGTTGGTGAAATTGTGGGAAAGTCACCAACAATTTGCGTCTCTACTTCAAAAAAGCACTAACATTGCCGCCGTCTTTGTTTGATGCAGAAGCTTTGGTACTCAAGTGCTTAGATTCTGCTAAGAACGTGATAATTCGACAGCAACTGCTCAGTGACAAGAACCCTACAGCAAAAGAGCTTGGAGTGTCGATTTTAGATGTGGGGACCTTCTCTATTCTGGATATCGAGCGTATGAAGTTGTGGCATGAGGTATCGAGAAAGCTTCTCAAGGCCCAAAAGCTAATCAAGTTTGTGAAAAATTTATCGATAGAACGCGGTGCTGAATCCAAGAAACAGCAAGAGATTCTGAAGACGATACCGCACATGGGTGTTGACACAGTCTATCATACTGGTGGGCACGACATCCATTTTACGGAGCTCGCTAGATTTGGAGATGAAAGTTGGTTAAGTGATACATGCGTGTATCTCGCATCGCAACGTGTTGCGGAGGAAGCAACAAAGTTATCCTGGTGGCAGCCCAAGATAGAGAGTGTTGTCGACCCCATCTACTTACAAATGGCAGACGTGGAAAGAAGAAGTGGATTTATCGACACTAGCGATCGCATCTTCAGCCAAATACAGGCGAATCGAATTGTATGCTGCCCGATTTATATCAACGTGACGTTTCCACACTGGTGTGGTATTATCTTTGACATGGAGCGTCAAACAGTATGGACATATGACCCTTTTCATAGAGAGGATTTCCTAAGAAGGGTGGAGGATATTTTCGAGAGCCGATTTCGACCGATTATGGCTACTGCGATGGAAGTTAAAAACTTCCCAGGCTCGCTACAAGATGACGGTTATAGTTGTGGAGTATTGGTTGTTCTCTGGTTTGAACAGTACATGTCTATCGCTCGAGCTACTCCGCCCGACCAGAGTATCCCCTTTCCCCGCGGCAACAAACTGCACCCCAAGGACCTGACGTACATGCGTTTCAAGCACCTTTCCTACGTATTTGATCGCGTAGTGGCAGATGCAGACATTGATCAATAATGCATGAATATATGTTTTGTATAAGGAGCATGAGTGGATCTAGTGCTGGTGCACACTACGATAGCAAGAGATCCGCAACGAGTGTGCCACGCAAATTTAAACATTTTTCTCTAAATACCGCACTGGTACCGGTAGCGGTCCTCGCCATATGATCCTCATTTTCGCCCATTCTTTAACGAAAAACTTGGTGACTGTAGGGAGAGCCTTTATTGTAAGCGCTACCGATAAATTTACTACACTGCGCGACAAAATCTTTCGGACACTTACATTTTTAGCTTGACTTCTAGAATTGAAAT